CTGCAGTGCAAGCTGTTCGGATCTCATTGGGAATGTGAAATCCCCAGGCAACAACTCCATTCGCTTCGACCTCAGAATAGGAAAGTTTCCTATCTCGAACGCAAAGTCACAACCCTTGACGGGGGTGACGAGGTATTCCTCCTTCCAAACGAAGCCAGGCTGAACGTGGTAACCAAGAAATATTCCCTCAACACCAGTCGGCGCAAACTTAGAGCTCGCAGGAATGTTCTGTTTGGGGTTGTTCCAGTACAACACACGTGCACCAAAAGGAATCATGATCCCTGAAAACGGTTCCCCATACCTGGCCTCCCAGGGAACAATCCCGTTGTCAAGCCTCTTAGTTGCATTAAGTGCCATCGCGTGGTGTTGGGCGGCCAACGGCCAAAGCTTGTCGGGGAGACCCGCCTGAACAAGGTTGGAGCGGGTACCCTCCAAAATCGTCCGAATTTCTCTTTCGATTACCGACTTGTTGGTGTCCACATATTCGCGGGATGTAACATGTCGGACACCTAGGCTTTTGATAGCGGCATGAAGTTCAGGTGCGTTGTCTGAATAGAAAATGCCAACTGCATCTTCTTGACCTAGAAAGTGAAGAAGGTCTTCAAAACACTGATCGCTTGACTTAGTCGGAGAGGGGTAGACGTAACGAAATTTGGTGAACACGTCCTTAACAACAAGTGCGACCCTTTCGTCCTGGAACCCATGGTCACGAAGGTCACGAGTGATGATATGGTCAACAGTGATGTGATCCCCAAAGGCCTTTGACACAATGGTACTTGAGCCCCCCTTTTTGCGGGCTTGGGGAGCCAACATCTTTGCGCGCTGACGTACCTCGCAGAACGGATTCTTGGGCCTGTGCGAGAACAAGTGCTCAACAGATTTGGCTTCAGCTTTCAGATCGGCCTCTGCAAGACTGCGGGCGTTTCCTTCGTTGTCACTGTCAGGTTCAACATCGGGGTCTTCGAAGATAGTGAGGCTCAGGATTGGATTACCCTCCAGTCGGGCAACTTTGTTGTCAAGCTCCCTGACGTTCACTTTATCCTCAACCTTGACCCAAGAACCTTCCCTGAACAACCAAGTAGATCTGACTTCGCATCTTGGAAACCTTGGTGTAGCAGTACGAAACGTCTTTGGTTTGTGTCCGACAATCAAGTACTTAGCATTTGGGTGCGAAACCCAACCTGGTCTTTTGAGCTTCTCTTTGGGGATATCTATCGGCGGCACCTCATTGATGGCTGCGGAGATCTCAGGATCGGGGTGCTCGACCACTGGATCTCGCTCCTCTGCTGCTCCTGCGAAAGCCTCGGCCGGCCCTATTGGGCGGCAGTTTTCTGAAAACCCTCGGACAAAATTGGTCGTCCGAGAGAACCTGAGGCTTCCTCCTTAGTGCTTGGAGCGGCCATTGCTCCTCCCCCTAGCACTGGGACCATACCTCTCATTCTACACCTTAGTCTTTGACCATTGGGCGCAACAAAGTAAGGCGGCCTTTTGGGGTACCAGTGGAACTCATAACCGTCCTCCATACACCTTCTGCCTACGGAGCAAACAGGAGGGGTGCTGTTGAGAACATAGAACTCTAGCTCTTTGCCAAACTCCGGGAAGTCGATCCTAACCGACTTGTCACCTTTGACGTTACCATTAGCAGTGATGAGATTCACTTGTCGTGTTGCATTGCCTACTGGCTCTTCGCCGAAGTACATAGCACGATCAGCTTCGCTGATAAGGTCCTCCTCGCTTCCTGTGTCAGCAAGGAATTCTAAGGGTGTGGCGATCCCTGGACAAGCGATCTCTGAGCTCTCAATGACGTGCTTGCACATCCCACACATGAGAGAATCAGGCTCATCACACTCTAAGTGGCAATCGGTCTTCTCTCCCCCGTCATGCCGGGCAAGAAGCATCTTGAGTTCCCTTGCGTTCCTAATTGCAACCTGAAGGTCATTGGCGTCAGGCTTAGGGCAGTTTTCCGCATCAGCATAGCAAGTATTATACCTGCGAACTTTGTAGGAATGTTTGTACCCCTTTCCCTCAAAAGGGATTTCCCTGACTTTGGGTTTGTCGCAAAACCTGACCTTCTTGTTTTGTTCTTTGATCTTGAAAACAGTCTTGCCGGTCCACGGCATCTTATTGCCGGTTCCCCCTCTTCCCTCTTTCCAGTCCCAGTTCTCCTTTGCAGTGTATGGAGAAATGGGAAGCGTCTTGATCACTTTAGCCTTACCCTTCAACCTTTCAAGAGCAACAGGACATGACACTTCGGGCTTGTACATAGTACTTCTGTACTTCAGATGGTGCCTAACAGCTTCACCCCTTTTAAAGTCTACTTCCCAGTAGTCTTCGTCCCCATCTTGTGGTTCACTCTCATCAGGACCAGCTGAGGCTGCAGCCGCAAGCGAGATGCAGCATGCGGCCTTCCTATCCTTTTCCTTAGAGCGTCCACGGCTTGGTTTCCTGCGCGTTGGCGCGGGTGACGGGGACCTCGGTTTGTCTGGGCCCTTAGGGGCCGGGGCTGCGTTTTCACCACCTGGGGGAGCAGGGCTCGGTTCCCTATGCAAGAAACGACACTTATCTCCCCTAGTGCACTTTCCCTTCTTCCAAAACGTGCAGACCTGTTTCTTCTTCGGGGCAGTGCGAACAGGGGATTGTGAACGTGGTTTGTGCGAAAACTTGCAGTTGTCACCCCTGGTGCACTTACCCTTTTGAAAGTCGTAGCAAACTGGCTTTGGGCTTTGCGATCGGCTAGGTGATCTAGATCTGGATGGGGTCCTAGAGCGAGACCTTGACTTTGAATTGGACTGGCTACCGGCAGAGCGATCCCTTCCGCGGCCGCTCCTCGACGGAGGGCGTGTCGGCCTTCCGCCTTCAACAACAGGAGCACCAAACTTGTCCCCATGAGATTTGGCGATTCTATCCCTGTTCTTGCGCATCCTTTCACGGGTCAACAAATCCCGGATTGACTTCAACAAGAACGCATAGGAGTGTGAGGCAGAACCCTCTTTCGCCCTGTCGTAGATTTCCAAATCATACTTCATTCTTGAGGACTTTCGGATTTGCCGAAGAAGGATATCACGCAGAACCATTTCTTCTGGGACATGACTCATGCCAGCAATGACTGATTCCCAATTGTGCAGAAATGTGGTTAGATCGTCACTATGCAGTGTAACCTTCAAAAGGTCTTCTACCGAATAGAGCGATCCTACCTCTTCATTTGTTTTGAAGTACTGATCAAACATGAGCAAGACCTGGCGCCCTCGTACGGCACGTCCTTGAACCGCCTCGGTTTCCTTGAAAGTGAGTACCTGTCGAGATAACTCACCTTTGGCGACCTTAGTGAGAGCGGCTAGGATTTTGGTATCCAGCGTGAGAAACTTACCGGGCTCACGAAGCTTGTCATGATCAGCATTCTTAGAATACACCTCTAGAATCCAAGAGAAGGCTTCATCTGGTCTATCTGAAGCTGCCCTAACTGCTTCCCGTGTTGCGGTTTTCCATGCACGGTAGGTTTCGGGGTTAGGGAAATCCGGCAGGCGGATGGTTTCAGCTTCTTTAACCTTTGGTTTGTCATCTTCACCGCTTTTGTCTCCTTTAAGAAGCTTGGCGGCTTCAAGCAGCGCTTGCTGCGTCTGTGCGATTAAATGGTCTCCCGTGGCTGCCGGACCTCCCGGCGTGCCTGTTGGGGCCGCAAGACCAGGGGCTCCGGCGTTCAAACCACCACTAGAGAATCCTAGATTTGGGACGTTAGCTGATGCAGTTGGGGTCCCTGGGGCAGAAACCGGACCCTGTGGTCCTGTTGGAGTGGCAGTAGTTGCCACACCGCCAAAACTGAAGTTTGGAAACAATGCCCTGATGTTCATCGGAATCACACTCGGATCTGAAAACTGAGGGGCACACGGAGCACTAAGCCCGGCGCTTGGCGCTGGAGCAACTGGGGCAGTGGCGCTGGGAAACTGAGCTTGCTGCGAGGGATTGATACCTAAATTCCTGTCTTGTTCGAGCTGGAGCGCACGCTCCATTGATGATAACTCATCTTGGAGGGTCATGTTTTGAATCCTCATTTGCTCTTCAGTTTCCAGGGCTATACTGCGGTACCTTTTCATTGCCTCATCATGCTCTCTCCCAAACCATTCCCCAATCTCGTTAATGCTTTCCCTCTTGTTTTGTTCAGCCTCTTCAACCAGAGTTGTCCTGAGACGTGTGATTTGCGAACCAACATCGGAAAAATGTTCTGACTGAAAATTGATTATCTGGTTTTGTTGCTGGAGTTCTGAAAAGAGGCCTTGGGTTCTCGCGACAAAGCTATACCTTTGGCTAGCAATTTCAGACTCAAGTCTAGCAACGACTTCCTCGTGCTGCCTGTTAGCCCTTTCTTCAACATCTGCGATTTGTTGATCATGGGCTTCTTCAGCAGCTAGGCGGAACCTCTGGTGCCTGGACTCTGCTTCGTTCTCTAACTCAGTGAGGAGAAGTCTTGTTTGTTCAGGTGTTTCACCTATCGTGATGTTCTGCTGAAACTGTTGTCGGTACATGTGGATCTGCGGAGCTCCTAGTCCTACGAAAGGAGAAGGTGCGTTTGGCGCAAACACATTAGCTGCCGCTGCATTCTCTTCCAGCACTAGGCCACGGCCATCCGTAGACGGTGGCATAGCCAAAGTGCCTGAGAGGTCCATCTCCGCGGATTCTGCGTCTGTAAATCCGTCTGTACCGAGATCAGTTGCTACCTCGGTGGGGACCAGCTCGGGGCTGTCACCCATGCACTGAGTCGAAACTCCAGGTCAGTGGTGCCGCAAGCTCCGGGGAGCCTACGGCTGATAACCTATAGTTTGGGAAATCCACCAGTCGTTGTCCGTTAAGCCATGAGCAGGGGCGCGCCTAACCTTTTACTCAGAGGGCTTGAGCGGCACAAGTAAGTGCAACATACATGGAAGCAAAAGTGGAGAGAATGCACAGATATAAAATACAAACCCTATCACCCTAAACCCTAAACCCTAAGCAACCTCGAGAATCTCCTCGGCAGCCGCAGTCGTCAGCTGCCCTTTCAGTGTGGCCCAAGCCTCGCTAAAACGGACTTAGGGACGTAGGGGGCGTTACCTGGGCATAGGGTTTAGGGTTTAGGGCTTAGGGTTTGTTTAGGGTTTAGGGTTTAGGGTTTAGGGTTCCGGGTTTAGGGTTTAGGGTTTAGGGTTTGGGGTTTAGGGTTTGGGGTTTAGGGTTTAGGGTTTAGGGTTTAGGGTTTTGGAGTTAAGGATATGGGGACTTATGGGGCGGCCATAGGGGCTCAGGGACTTGAGGACCCCTAGGGCTTAGGGTTTAGGACTTCGGGACGTAGGGACATTTGGGGCTTGGGGACTTAGGGATTTAGGGTTTAGGGTTTAGGGCTTAAAGTTTAGGGCTTGTAGGGCCTAGGGTTTTTAGGGCTTGAAGGGCCTGGTGTTTAGGGCTTAGGGTTCAGGGCTTGCGCTTGTGGCTTCGGACTTGTTCTTTTTTGGGATGGGACTTGCAGTTTATGATGTATGCTAGTATCCCAAAAGGACACCAAACGATTTTCAGGGAACCCTAGATACTGTTTTGGGGGTTTGTTTTTTGGGGGTCCCCAATTTTCCTAAACGCCCAAATGCACTCACCAATAACATTCATATAAGCCCTTCTTCGTAGAACGTGGACTCCTAAGGTTCGACAGTTCAAAGGGGTCGGTCTTTTGTCTTAGGGTAGTTACATGGGCCCTTAATATGGTCCCTTGCCTCCTTTAAATGGTGAGGGTTCACTACCCTAAGATTTTTGGGGTTGCTAGTGGTCTTTAACTACGGGCTTTCGGGGTTTGGGTGTCGGATTTGGCCCTGAACCCCGTAAACCCTAAAAACCTAAACCGTTTCCCTAAACCCTGAACCCTAAACCCAAAACCCAACATGTAGGGGTTGCGGGGGCCCCCAACATGCAAATCGCAAGACGCTCGCGCCTGACCCACGCGATCCCACTGCTCCAGGATGTCCTTTCAGGGTGTAAGGTTTAGGGTTTAGGGTTAGGGTTTAGGGTTTAGGGTTTAGGGTGTCAGAGCTTCTTCGGGGCAGTAGCTGGCGGTGCCGCGCTAGATTCCGAGGAGGTAAATCCCACAAAAAAACACCCCAAAATCCCAGATGACCAAACCTCCAGAAGCCCGAAAACCTAAAACACCCCCTAAATTACCTAAACCCGATGCCAGCGAAATCCTAAACCCTAAACTCGGGTTAAGGCGCTCTCCTGAACCAGGGCTTAACAGCCCAGTGCCCCATGATCTCTCTAACCTCCGGTTCTACAGGGAAGGTAGGGTCTAAGAGTAGTGTCCCTTACCTCCCTTAAAGGGTTCTGAAGTATGGGCCCATGGGCTGCATAGGGTATAGAAGGGGTATATAAGGGGTCCCCCGCTTCAGGGCCCATACTAAGGGATCCTGTAACTACAACCCGAGAGAGGAATCTTCGCAGGGATCCTATGATCACGAGTCGTCCCGGCCTGGGTTTAAGGTTTTAGGGCTTTAGGGCTTTGAGGTTTTAGGGTTTTGGGGTTTCAGGGTTAAAGGCTTTGGGGTTTTGAAGGTTTTAGGGGTTTACGGTCTTAGGGTTTGAGGGTTTAAGGCCTTAGGGTTTTAAGGCTTGAGGGTTTTAGGGTCACTTGGGGCGCCAACCATACGAATTTTAAGGCACACAGGGAAACCCTAAACCCCAAACCCCAAACCCCAAACCCTAAACCCTAAACCCTAAACCCTAAACCCTAAACCCGAGAGTTGGGAAGGGGGCGTCCCTTTCAGCCGGCTGGGACCCCGAGCCTGCCGAGCTACGACGATGGGCTCGAGGGTGTCTCCGCCATCCTACTGGGAGGGTTCAGGGTTTAGGGTTTAGGGTTTAGGGTTTAGGGTTTAGGGTTTAGGGTTTAGGGTTTAGGGTTTGGCGTTTAGGGTTTAGGGTTTAGCGTTTAGGGTTTGGGGTTTAGGGTTTTGGGGTTTAGAGAATCATCTCTGGTGCAAGTTCATCTTCATTGCAGCTGCCCGAAGCCAAAAGAGTTGAGTCTGCAGGGTTGCAGACCCCAGGACTTGTAAAGCTAAGCGTTCGCACTGTGGGCCTCACGGGTAGTGTTTAGGGTTCGGGGTTTTAGGGCTTCGGGTTTAGGATTTAGGGTTTAGGGTTGTTAGGTATTGGGGTGTAGGGTTTAGTTAGGTTTAAGGTGTAGGGTGTAGGGTTTAGGGTTTAGGGTTTAGGGTGTACTGTAGGGATTTCAGTGTCAAGCTGGATGCAGGGCTTCGGGCTTTGAAGCCCGGTGTGGAGAGCGCGACAAGCTGAATTCCCAAACCTCAGACCCTAAATCCCAAAGCCCTAATCCCTAAATCCTAAAACCTAACCCCCTAAACCCTAAACCTTACGCCCTAAACCCTAAACCCTAACCCTAAATCCTAAAATCCCTGCACCCTAAACCCTAAACCCTAAACCCTAAACCCCAAACCCTAAACCCTAAACCCCAAACCCTAAACCCTAAACCCTAAACCCTAAACCCTAAACCCCCCAGCAAGGCCTTCGACTCCTGGTGCATCGCCTCGAAGTTCGCCACCGCGGCCTCGCGCGACGCACGCGCACACGCGTGTGCGCCCGGTGAAGATTTGGGGTTTAGGGTTTAGGGTTTAGGGTTTAGGGTTTAGGGTTTAGGGTTTGGGGTTTGGGGTTTGGGGTTTGGGGTTTGGGGTTTGGGGTTTGGGGTTTGGGGTTTGGGGTTTAGGGTTTAGGGTTTGGGGTTTGGGGTTTGGGGTTTAGGGAACCCAAAACCTTAAACCCTCAAACCAAAACTGCCCAACCCCCCCCCCCCCCCCCCCGGCCCACACCGCCAGGCGAAATCCAGTCTGACCCCGGCACCCCCTGACCACAGCCCTTTTCACCCTAAAGCCCCTAAGCCTCCAAACCCACTAAACCCTAAAACCCGAAACCCAAAACCTAGACCCTAAACCCCAACCCCTAAAACCCAAAACTCTAAAACCCCAGAGCCTTATAACCCTAAAACCCTAAACCCTATAAACCCTAAGGCCTTAAAGCCTCATAAACCCTAAAACTTAACCCTAAACCCCCAAACCCTAAACCCCTCTAAAACCCTACCCTAAAACCAGGCAGAGGGCAACAGTGCTTGGTCTCCCGTTGCCTGCAGTTCTGAATCCGCACTTCGCTGGCCGTAGGTGTAGAGAAGGGCTTCGCGGAAGACCACGCAGGCCTGAAAGCACGTTTAGGGTTTAGGGCTTAGGGTTTGGGGTTTAGGGTTTAGGGTTTGGGGTTTAGGGTTTAGGGTTTGGGGTTAGGGTTTAGGGTTAGGGGGCCTCAAAGCACAGGGGCTTCGGGTCTGGGGTTAGGGTTTGGGGGTGTTTGGATGCTAGGTTTTTGGGTTTAGGGTTCGGGGACTCTATTGTCTTCTTAATTTTGGGGATCCGTTGACAGTGGCCTTGAAGGAATGAGGGGGGCCTAGAGCAGGGTTGTATTGCGCTAGCCTTTCAAGGGTGCAGCCTTTTGGGTATAGAGCTTAGAGCGTAGGGTTTAAGGTTTAGGCTTGCCAAACCCTTTACCCTAAACCCTAAACCCTAAACCCTAAACCCTAAAACTCTAAACCCTAAACCCTAAACCCTCAAATTGCTCTTAGGCACCTGCGTGAGCTCGCGCGTCACCGCGTCCACCCGGTCCCCCGGCCAGGTGGGGCGGGCCGCAAGCGCGGCTTTGAGGTACCTATGCCCAGGAGGTTTAGGGTTTAGGGTTTAGGGTTTAGGGTTTAGGGTTTAGGGTTTAGGGTTTAGGGTTTAGAGTTTAGGGTTTAGGGCTTAGGGTTTAGGATTTAGGATTAGGGTTTAGGATTAGGGTTTTTAAGGTTTAGGGTGTTTAGGATTTAGGGTTTAGATGTTTTTTCAGGGTTTTGGGGCTTCATAGGGCTTAGGTGAAACGGGCCTTATCTTGGAGCCGTTTGTACCCTGAACCGGAGGGCCCGAAATCCAGCATCATGTTTTCGTAAGCTCTTAGGCCGATAAACCTGGCTTAAAGGTTCCAGGGCTTAAGGGCTTAAGGGTTTAAGGGTTTAAGGGCTTAAGAGCTTTAAGGGTTAAAGGGCTTTAGGGGCTTAAGGGTGTAAAGGGTGTAGGGGCTTAAGGGTTCAAGGGTTTCAGAGCTTAAGGATTTAAGGGTTCAAGGACTTAAGCGTTTAGAGTTTTAAAGGTTCTAGGTGTAAGTCCTTAAACCCTTGAAGCCCTCATCCCCTAAACCCTTAAACCCTCAAACCCTCAAACCCTCAAACCCTCAAACCCTCAAACCCTCAAACCCTCAAACCCTCAAACCCTAAACCCTTAACCCCTGAAGTCCTTAAGCCCTTAAACCCTTAAACCTTAAACCCCCTTTAAGTCCTTAAACCCTTAAACCCCTTGAAGTCCTTAAACCCTTAAACCCCTTGAACCCTTAAGCCCCTAAAGTCAAGCCTGGCTTGGGTCTCTTCGGCCGCCAGGCGTAACGCCTCCCCAGCTGCTACAGCTGCAAGCACATCCTGAAGGCGGACGACGCGCCTATGTGTGCAGGTATGTATGTATGTAAGTATGTATGTAAGTAAGTATGCATATATATATATATATATGTATACATAGAGTTCTCAAAATCAGGGTCCCTTTTGGGGTACCCTAAATAGGAGGGCCCGCCTCAAAAAGGACCCCAAAAGGGAGCATTATTTAGAGAAATCACCATGCATATATACATATATATATACATATATATATATATGTATATACATATATGTACATATATATATATATGTGTATATACATTTATTATATGATTCTCTATTTCATATGCATGTACAAACGTAACATGGCCAGGCTGCGAGGGGTCCATGGAAGGTGTAATTGAGTTCATGGCTTGTGTAGGGCTCCGCTTGGTTTGGGGCTTTCCAGGTTGGGGATTAATGGCTTAGAGTTTAAGGGCGGGGGGGGGGTTATGGCTGACCATGAGCCCTCACACCCCAAGAAAACCCTAAGGATCATGCAGGGTTAGGGCTTTAGGGTTTCGGGCAAGGGCTTAGGGTTTATAGGGTTTAGGGGTTATGCAATCGGTCATTTATAGGGTTTAGGGCTTCGGGATTCGGTGGGGCAGTCCTCCGCTGCGGTGGCGGCCTGGTCGGGCCCGCATTTCAGGGCTTCGGGTTTAGGGTTTAGGGTTTAGGGTTCGTTTGGAATTAACAATGGAGGAAGTGGAGGGTTCTACGAATAAACTAAAAACCCACTGAAGCCCCCCTGACCCACAAAGCTCTAAAGCCCTAAAGACCAAAAGCCCTGAAGCCCTAGAGCCCTAAACCCTGAATGAACCCTAAGCCCTAAAGCACTAAAGCCCAAACCCCGACCTCTAAACTCCTCACCCCTAGACCCCAAACGCTAAACCCTAAACCCTAAGCCCTGGTTGAAGGTTCAGGGTACATACTAACCCAATAAAAACTGTACCTCCAATTTTTACCCTATTAGGGCTCTTAAGGGGCATTTACGTGGGTTGTTAAGCACCATGAAGCTCCAACCCTAAACCCTAAACCCTGAACCCTGAACCCTGAACCCTAAACGCTAAACCCTAAGCCCTAAACCCTAAACCCTAAACCCTAAACCCTAAACCCTAAACCCTAAACCCTAAACCCAAGCCCTGCAGGGAGCCTCGAAGGAATCGAGAGCCGGCGACACCGTGGCGGAAAAGTGGTCCAGGTACTCCTGGCTCCCCGGAGGTGGGCAGGGTCCAGGTTGGAGGGCTTCATGAGGGTTTAGGGTTTCGGGTTTAGGGTTTGGGTTTAGGGTTTAGGGTTTCGGGTTTAGGGTTTAGGGTTTAGGGTTTCGGGTTTAGGATTTAGGATTTAGGGTTTAGGGTTTAGGGTTTAGGGTTTAGGGTTTAGGGAACCTAAACCCTGAACCCAACAATTCCAGTGAGAAACAAAGCAAGTTTGTGGGTTCAGGGTGCCTGGCATTGGGTATCATGTGAACAGATGGTCATGGGGCTTGCTGCCATTTAGGAATTTTCATGTTCAGGTCAGAGAAAGTGGAGTTGCGTGGTTTGCATTGGCTGGCCTTTCCGGTGTTGTGGGATTGCTTTGGAGCTAAGATTGCCAAAGGTCTAGGCTTCGGGAGATGAACCAGCGTTCCCTTGACCCGACTACCCGGAATGCAAAGCGCCCAGATGGGAAGCGCCATGACACGCTGTTCCGAACCCAGACGCCCTGGAGGTGTGCTCAGATCATCAGCCGGGCGAGTGACCCTAAACCCCTAAACCCTAAACCCTGGAATGTGTTGGGATTGAAAAAATCCGGGGAGCCCTCGAAACCAAAACACCCCAACAAAACCAAAGCCTAACCCCCAACATCATACAACAAAGACATGCTGCCGACCTAGATACAGAGTGACAAGAAGCATGCGGCACATCTTTTGTGAGTGAACCCGTTCGATTGAAGCTCTGCTGGGTGGTGTAAAACTTGTTTGACTGTATGAAGTAGAATGCCCCCAAAGGAACGCTCACCAATATCTGAAACAACAAAAACTACATACACTTACCAATGACAGTAATATACAATATCGGGAAAAACTACATACACTCACCAATAACAGTAATATACACGCTGTTTCAAATCCCTTCCTATTGCCTTCCGAGGCCCTTGCGGACCCCTCTTCAGAGCTCTTTCCGAAAACAACCCCCCAACCCCTTAACCTGAAACCGGATAAACCCTAAACCCTATAAACCCAAAACCCTATTAAACCCAATTAAACCCTATTAAACCCTATTAAACCCCATTAAACCTATTAAACCCTATTAAACCCTATTAAACCCTATTAAACCCTAAACCCTAAACCCTAAACCCTAAACCCCAAACCCCAAACCCCAAACCTAAACCCCAAGTTCTTTTCCAGCCCCTTCATGACTGTCATATTCCTCAAGCGCTGCCTGAAGGTACCGGCACTAAACCCTGTTTTCTTCACCCTGATCTTATCTCAAGCTATGTAAATTCCCGAACCCCAAGCCCTAAACACTTCCAAGACCTTCCCGCACAGGGATACCCCCGACAGATTCCTTACGACTTTGGGTCCTAGATTATTGAGGGATTGGCGAACCCCTAAACCCTAAACCCTAAACCCTAAACCCTAAACCCTAAACCCTAAACCCTAAACCCTAAACCCTAAACCCTAAACCCTAAACCTGTTTGAAAAGAAGCGCCTGGGAGGGAGGCGCCGGCACGCGGGGCGAGAAGGCCCCAAACTCTAGCCGATGCGCGGAGCCCAGGAGCAAGTCCATGCGGGCCTGCGACATCGGGGGAGGGTGGAATTCTGGAGGGGAAACAAAAGTCCCTGAACTCAAGGAGGTTTAGGGTTAAGGGTTTAGGGTTAAGGGTTTAGGGTGTAGGGTTTAGGGTTTAGGGTTTCGGGTTTAGGGTTTTAGGGTGGGCCGGTTTCATGGGCTGCGAGGTGCGGAACCGTGGGGTTTATGCACAGGTCTCCTTGTTTGCCACGAAAAGCTACTGCATGACCCAAAACCCAAAACCCTAAAGCCTAAACCCTAAACCCTAAACCCGAAACCCTAAACCCTAAACCCTAAACCTTGTTTTACCAAGATGTTTGCGCCCTGAACTTTTCCAAGCCCACCTCCCACCTGGCCTGCAGCTGTGCCGCTTCCAAACGCCCCTTCTGACGAAGGATGAGGTCGCCTCAGGCTTAGGATTTAGGGGGGGACCCTCTGTACCTACAGTTTTATGGGTTATACCCACTAATTCAGGGGTAGTTACTACTAAATCTGTAGGTAAATTGAGTCACAGGTAGGGCTTCGGGTTCGGCGTTTAGTTGAAGAATTGCGGCTTCGAGGATAAAGAGCTGGACACTGCGCCTGTGGCAGGGGACGGGGGTGTGTAAGCTTCGGACTAAGCAAATAAGGGCCTCAGCAAGCCTTTATGTAAGCCTTTATGTCCCCTACACCCCCCCCAAGCCCGCACCGCAAACCCAGTAGCACATAGAGCGAACTTCATGTACTGTAGCGGGCTTTTCGAGGTTCTCCCATCTTGCCCTGGCACACGTCGCCCGCTGGCTCCATCGCGCCAGGGTGGCTGCCTCCTGGTGCAGCGCCAGCCAAGAGTCCTGCTTCCAGGCTTTCTTGGAGCCCTAAGGGTTTAGGGTTTAGGGGTTAGGGTTTAGGGTTTAGAGTTTAGGGTTTAGGGTTGGAGGACTCCCCTGACCTCTATAGTACATACTTGGGCTCTGAAGCTACTATCTGAGAGCCCTTTAAGGCCCAAGTATATACTTTTTAGGTACATCCACGCTTAGGGCTCAGGAATAGGGTATGGGAAATGGTTGAAAGGGAATCTAGCGATGTCTCTCTGTGGAATAAAAAGGTTTAGCTGGGGCCCCGTGTCCCTGAACCCCGAAACCCTTGTTGCCCCAGAAGCCAAGGAGCGAGGGGAAGCTGCTCCGTGGCATTTTCGCAGCTGGTGGCTGTCTTCAGTACGAGCGCCTCTGACTGGGACCTCTGCACTGAGGCATGAAGGGGCCTTGGGCCTTGGGGGTTTCCCCTAAACCCTAAACCCTAAACCCTAAACCCTAAACCAGGGCTGTGAAGATTGGGGGAGCTTTATTTGGATAGTTACATGGTCCCCTGATGGCCATGCGGACCCTGAAAAGCGGACCCCTTATAGACCCCTTATATACTAAGGGCCCGTACTTCAGAACCCTTTGAAGAAGTAAGGGAGCATAGTAAGAGACCAAAGAGCAATCAAAAAAGCACCATAAAGTCATATTATGAAGTTTACGAACATAGGGGACCCCTATAATCGACCCCCAAATAGGGGGGGTTCCTTTACCATAAGGACCCCAATAAGGTAACCGCAATTTCGGAGACCCCCCATCTGTTTCACGGTGGTTGGATGAGGGTGTGGAGCCTTAGGTTGCCGGGATGTGGTGATGGCCCCGAAAAAGTATGACAAGGGCTTCGAAGGGTTGAGGCGGTTTAGGGTTCAGGGTTTAGGGTTTAGGGTTTAGGGTTTAGGGTTTAGCGTTTAGCGTTTAGGGTTTAGGGTTTAGGGTTTAGGGTTGAGGGTTTCGGGCTTGCGGTTGTTCAAAGTGTGGGGTTTTGTTCGTCGCTGCAAAGCTTCAAGCTACCGGGACGGGTGAACCCCCCGAATCTTCAACACCTGCTAGACCCCAAAGCCTACACCGCCCTCAACCCTAAACCCTAAATCCTACACCCCAACCCCTAAACCCTAACCCCGAAACAGCCTTCAAATTCTTAAACCATAACCCTGAAACCCTGAAACCCTAAACCCCTAAACCCCTAAACACCTAAACCCCTAAACCCCTAAACCCCTAAACCCCTAAACCCCCAAACCCCTAAACCCCTAAACCCCTAAACCCCGAAAGCCCTAAACCCCTAACCCCTAAACCCCTGGAAGCCCTAAACCCTAAACTCTAAACCCTAAACCCTAAACCCTAAACCCCTGGAAACCCTAAACCCTAAACCCTAAACCCTAAACCCCTGGAAACCCTAAACCCTAAACCCTAAACCCTAAACCCCTAAACCCTAAACCCTAAACCCTAAACCCTAAACCCCTGGAAGCCGCAAGCGGAGCCCCCTCAGTAGGCCGAGGAGCTGCGCAGCTGCGAGCGCCAGCGGGACAAGGCGTCCAAGCCTGGGGCTTGGGGTTCAGGGTTTAGGGTTTGGGGTTTAGGGTTTGGGGTTTAGGGTTTAGGGTTTAGGGTTTAGGGATTAGGGTTTAGGGTTTAGGGATTAGGGATTAGGGTTTAGGGTTTAGGGTTTAGGGTTTAGGGTTTAAGGGTTAAGGGTTTAGGGTTTAGGGTTTAGGGTAAGGGTTCAGGGTTTAGGGTTTAGGGTTTAAGGTTTAGTGTATGTCATGGTAAACGCGGCGCTGTCTCCATCATGGACGGAGTGATCCGTCGATTTGGTCATCAGGGATATGAACTCCTTTCAGGGTTTAGGGTTTAGGGTTTAGGGTTTGGGGTTTGGGGTTTGGGGTTTAGGGTTTAGGGTTTAGGGTTTAGGGTTTAGGGTGACCGTGTCTGATACGAGGTATACACAACGTGACAGACACAGCCACACAGACAAACAGGCAGACAGGAAGTGTTAGGGAGAGAGAGAGAGAGAGAACAGAGATCGAAAGCGAGAGGGAGAGAGAGAGTGTGTGTGTGTGAGACAGAGTGACAGAGATGGAGATAGATACGGAGAAAGACCCCCAGCCCAAACCCCGAACCCCAAACCCTGAACCCAAACCCCAAACCCCAAACCCCAAACCCCAAACCCCAAACCCCAAACCCCAAACCCTAAACCCTAAACCCTAAACCCTAAACCCTAAACCCTAAACCCTAAACCCTAAACCCTAAACCCAGCCACGAGACTCGGTCAGCTCGGTGCTGTTTCCCCAGGCCACGCCCAGCGCGGAATGCTCCAGCTGGGAGAAGAGGTCTCCCACCTGCTTGATGTCAGGGGGATTTCCGAAATTCGGGTTTAGGGTTTAGGGTTTAGGGTTTAGGGTTCAGGGTTTAGGGTTTAGGGTTTCGGGTTTAGGGTTCAGGGTTCAGGGTTCAGGGTTCAGGGTTTAGGGTTTAGGGTTTAGGGTTTAGGGTTTAGGGTTTAGGGTTTAGGGTTTAGGGTTTAGGGTTTAGGGTTTAGGGTTTGGGAGGTTCCCGAAATTAGGTGTACCTCATGGACATTCGGAATGTCCTGATGATAAAGGGGTTTATTTGAGGATCTATATTACGGGTCCCTCATTGTCAAAACCCCCCCCCCCCCATGTTGACTCGTTGGCTCATCCAGTTACTGTTTTTACTTGGGGAACTGGGGGGGTGTAGGGTTCAGGGGTTAGGGTTTAGGGGTTAGGGTTTAGGGATTAGGGTTTAGGGTTTAGGGTTGCAGGATTTAGGGTTCAGGGCTACAGGGTTACAGGGTTACAGGGTTTTGGGTTTAAGGCCTGTTGGTTATACCTGTGATTGGAGGTTGGTTGTTGAGGGTACTGGCCTTCGGGCTTTCGTACCTCAGGGTATACCCCCAAGTGTCACAGTCCTGAGAGATGTATGCGCGGTTCTGGGGTTTCCCAAGAGATCCCTAAGCACCAACTACGGATTCTTCCCCAAAAACTCTGACTATTGTTGGGAGACTCGGGTCTTGGGCGTAGGGGTTGAGAGCTGAGGGCCTACCAAAAAAACTCAACCCCCAAAACCCCCAAAACCCCCCTCAAGAAACACCACCGAAAACCCTCCAAGCCTAAACCCCCTAAACCATAAACCCGAAACCCTGGACCCTAAACCCGAAACCCTGAACCCCAACCCCTAAAGCCTTGCCTCTCGCATGCGTGCGATCATGCACACCTGCGTCTGCTTCTCCATTGCAGGGCTGTGGTTCGTTGCTGGAGCCCCCTGGAGCAACCTCGGGCCGAGGGCCTTAAGACTTCTGGGGGGGGGGGTTGGGGTTTAGGGGTTAGGGGTTAAGGGGTTAGGGGTTAGGGTTTAGGGTTTAGGGTGTAGGGTGCAGGGTGTAGGGTGTAGGGTGTAGGGTGTAGGGTTTAGGGTTTAGGGTTTAGGGCCTTAGGACTTCTAGGGGGTAGGGGGGGGCTAGGGGGTAGGGGTCAGGGCTCGGGGATAGGGGTAAGGTCCTGAGAATAGGGGGGTTTTATGGTTGTAGAGCTTTGGGGTTTAGGGCTTAGGGTTTAGGATCCTAAAACCCCGGCTCCACCCTTTAGCCTCAAACATCCTAAACACCAGGGGATCCACTTGAACCGGCCTAGCTTTCGAGGCTGCTCGGGGCCAAGCCCCTCTGCCTCTACTTGTCGGACAATGATAGGGTTCCGGGTTGAGGGATTGAGGGCTTGAGGGGTTTACTAGTTCATGATTGGGATGGTATAAATACATCTAAAATGTTTTTCCTTCTTGGGTTGAACGGTTGAAGTACCCTTAACCACGTAAAGATGCTACCCAACTATGACCAAGTTTAGGGTTTAGGCTCCCAGCTTCCCTAAAACCGCAAAAAGGAACTCAAGGATGGGAGGTTTGGGGGGCAGGTCTTTCCTAAAGCATCCGGTATGCTTGGGCTGTCAAGTGCCCATTGAAATGTGGTGGAATGAACCTGGGACTCAAGGACATGGGTTGGCAGAAAGATCAACCAAGGAACCAAGCAAAGATTGAACTGGAAAGTCACCGGAAGAGGAGGATGCTTAGAAGGGAGGTAGGGGGTTCGGACATAACATATCCCTACAAGCCAGGCACATGCCTCCCTTCAACGGATTGCATAGATACTACGGTTTAGGAGTGTTGGGTGCGATGCATGAACTAGTGTGAAGTGCCTTGTTCTTCGCATCTGTTCACATGGGTCCATGTCAACACCTTCACCCCCCTTCACAGAGTAGGCAACCCTAAACCCTAAACCCTAAACCCTAAACCCTAAACCCTAAACCCTAAACCCTAAACCCTAAACCCCAAAGCTTATGCTCCAACAAATCAAGCCTCGAGCCCAGGTTTGTTTCTGGGTTTCTAGGGCCCTTGGGGTTTCAGGTTTCGCGGATCTAAACGTTTTCCGGGCCCTAAACCTGTCATCCTAAACTCTAAGCCCCAAACCCTGAGAAGCCAACAATGAGCCCCAAGGCCCAAGTCCTAAACGCTGAACCCTTAAACCCTAAGCCCTAAAACCCTAAAACCCTAAAACCCTTAAAAAAAGAAAAAAAACTAAATCCCCAACACCGTCAAACCCTTAAAACAAACCCTAAAACCCCAAAACCCTTTCCCAAACCCGAACCCTGCAGGTCTGGACCAGGAGGCATCGTCTGGGTCTCATCGAAGAGGCCGCGGGACTCGTTCAGCAGCAGCCAATTCTCATGGACCTTTGTAGTTCATGGTGAGGATATGGGCCCCCTTTTTACGCAGCTGCTTAAGGGTTTAGGCTTTAGGCTTTAGGGTTTAGGGTTTAGGGTTTAGGAGGATCAAAGAACCAGGAACCCTGAAGCCCACATGCTAAACCCTAAGCCCTTGCTGCTCTGAAGCCTTCGTTGATGGCACCAAAACCCTAAACCCTAAACCCTAAACCCTAAACCCTAAACCCTAAAAACCCCAAACCCCAAACCCCCAACCCTAAACCCTAAACCCCTAACCCTAAACCCTAAACCCTAAACCCTAAACCCTCAACCCTCAACCCTAAACCCTAAACCCTAAACCCTAAACCCTAAACCCTAAACCCCCAGCCTGTATCCCAGAAAGGACCAGTGCAGCCTCCACCGAAATCTTGTAGAGCAGGGTCTCCTCCAGTGATCTTGGATCAAGATTGGGTGTGTTAGGGTTTAGGGTTTAGGGTTTAGGGTTTAGGGTCTCGGGTTTAGGGTTTAGGGCTTCGGGCTTAGGGCTTGGGGTTTAGGTTAGTGTGTTTGGGTCAACCAGCCCTGTTCTGTCGACCGCAGCAGCTAAGGCTGCCTTGCTAATGAACCTACGCAGCACTACTTGGGGGGTTCAGAGTACTTATCACCCCAATTCTAGCTGCACTAATGAGCCCCCCAAGTCCTCTAAGTAGGTTGTAAGTGGACTTAGAACGAGGGTGATAAGTACCCTAAACCCTAAAACCCTAAGACCCTAAAACCGAAAATCCTAAACCCTAAAGCCGTAAACCTCCAAGAAGCCGTGAACCTCCCTAAGCCCTAAACCCCACACCTGGGCCCTCTCCTGGCCGAAGCAAGCCCGCGGGGATTCACAGTGTGAACTCAACGGCGGTTGAAGGGTTCGGGATTTAGGTGATTTAGGATTTAGGTGATCTAGTGACTTAGGGTTGAGGTGATTTAGGGTTTAGGGTGTGGGGTTTAGGGTTTAGAGTTTAGGGCTTCGGGGGTTTAAACGTAACACCCGCCACCATGGGCCAACAAGTTCTAGGGCTCACGTCAACTTCCGCCTTTCGGTCGACAAACTGACCGAAGCGACAGGCAACAAACACAAGTTCTTGTGCAGGAGTCATGTTCGGGGTGCTATACTCGGATGGCCCTTAAACTCTCTGAACCATGTTTACGGTCTTTGAGTACCAGAACTCCACACATCTCAGACCCCCAAAAGATTGACTAGACCCGAAACCCAACAACCTAAACCCTAAACCCTGAATCTGAACCCTACGTGCCGAACCCCAAACCTTAAACCCTAAACCCTAAACCCCAAAACTTTAACCCTAAACCCTGAACCCTGAACCCTAAACCCTACGTGCCGAACCCCAAACCTTAAACCCTGCACCTCGTGGCCCTCTGAACCCGCGAGTTGCTTTTGAGGGAGTGAGGGCTTCAGACTCCGGTTCGAGGATTCAGGATTCAGGGTTGGGTAGCTGTTCAGTTTAGGGTTTAGGGTTTAGGGTTTAGGGTTTAGGGTTTAGGGTTTAGGGTTTAGGGTTTAGGGTTTAGGGTTTAGGGTTTAGGGTTTAGGGTTTATGGTTAGGGTTTAGGGTTTAGGGTTTAGGGTTTAGGGTTTAGGGTTTAGGGTTTAGGGTTTAGGGTTTAGGGTTTAGGGTTTAGGGTTTAGGGTTTAGGGTTTAGGGTTTAGGGTTTAGGGTTTAGGGTTTAGGGTTATTCTGGAATATGGTCCTTATTGGCGCTACTCTTATCAAACGGAACCACAAATTTAACCCCATACCCGAGAGGCGAAACCCTAAACCCTTCTCAAAGAATGACCCAAAATGGGACGATAATTCACCCCCTACTAAGAACCAGCACGCCCTAAGACCCCAAACTTCCAAAACCCTGCAACGCCCTCAAACCCTTAACCCTAAAACCAGAAAACGCTGCACTCCCAAACCCGAAAAGCCCTAAACGCCGTAAACCCTGAAACACTGAAACCACCCAAAACCCTCCTGAAACCCGAAAAACACTAAAGCCCTAAACCAAAAACTCCCTAAACCCCCTAAACTACCCCCAAACCCCCCAGAACCCTTAAAAAACTAAAGCCCTTAAACCCTAAACTCCCTCAATCCCTAAGCCCCAACCGAAAAGGTCCTGTTGACTGGTCTGCTCCACCAAAAACGAGTCGGAGCTGTGGCTCGCCGCATAGGCAGCTTGCCTGGGGTTTAGGGCTTAGTTAGGGCTTAGGGCTTAGGGCTTAGGGCTTAGGGCTTAGGGTTTAGGGTTTAGGGTTTAGGGTTTAGGGTTTAGGGTTTAGGTACATTCTTTGTGCAGGGCTCACAAGCGCTTGAAGGCACCAACGCCAAGCTGTGCGTCGGGTGGCTCCGTGTGGTGCATCACGACATCGAGGTCCGCAAGCACTGCCTGGCCTCAGTGGAAGGATCCCGAAACCCTACACCCAAACGCCCAAACCCCAAAAACCCCAAACCATAAACCATAAACCGTAAACCGTAAACCCAAACCCTACACCCCTAAACCGCCTAAACCCCTGAAACCCGAAAAACCCTACACCCAAGCACCCTAAACCAAAAAACCCTAAACCTTGGACCCTACTTGGAAGTTCATGGTACTTATGAACTAATGAGAACTGTACTTATGACCCACTGACAAGCCCCTTAAGTGCCCTCATATGGTGAAAAGTACAGTGAAAAGTACAGTTATAGTTGCTTCATAAGTACCCTAAACCCTAAACCCTAGGGGTTAGTGAGTACCATAGTCCTTGGACCCGAGACTTCAAGCCACTACCAGCCTCAAGTTGCCTTTTGTAGGCGCAAACGGCTCAAATGGAGAGTAAGGGTTTAGGGTTTAGGGTTTAGGGTTTAGGGTTTAGGGTTTAGGGGTTAGGGTGCTTAGGGCTTCGGGCGGAGGGTTGAGGGGTTAGGGTTAACAAACAGTATTCTTCGAGCTGGGATTCGTGATGGGTTTAGAGTTTTGGGTTTAGAGTTGGTGTCTAGGGTCTACTATTAAATGCTTCAGAACTCCCAAAAAACACAAAGCATTCTTCCTGAGAAGGGTAGGAGAGGGATTATGATTTTTTCTTTTGGGGTTCTGAAGCAAATGGTAGTCTAGGGTTACCCAAAGCCCTCACTCCCCCCAACCCCAAACTCCCCAAGCTTGCCCTCAAAGCTTGAAGATGTTCTAGGCTGGGGCTTAGTCAACTGTATGGGAGGCCGGTACCCTAAACTCTAAAGTTTAGGGTTTACGATATACCCCAAACCCTAAACCCTAAACCCTAAACCCTTAACCCTAAACCCTAAATCCTAAACCCTAAACCCTGAGAGCCCCTGATTTGGTCTTGGATCCAGTCAAGGGCCTCCTCCAAGCTGCTAAGTTGAGTGATCTTCTTGCGGGAGGTTCAATATGGGTTTAGTGTTTCTGGTTTAGGGTTTAGGGTTTAGGGTTTAGGGGTTGGGGTTAATAATATCGGCTCTCGGCCGTGGACCGAGCTGTTGTACCAAGAGACGAAGGACAACAAATCGAACAACTTAAGGCCCTGAAAAGGCGCACTCTGCTAATGCTTCTAAACCTGCCCTAAACCCTAAACCCTAAACCCTAAACCCTAAACCCTAAACCCTAAACCCTAAACCCTAAACCCTAAACCCTAAACCCTAAACCCTAAACCCTAAACCCTAAACCCAGGACAGGGAACCTAACACATGGCAACCAGGCTGAAGGTCCAGATGTGGCTTGCCTTACGTCTAACCGAACTCTTAGACACCGAAACCCCTTTGTAAACCCCAAGGCGTCGTAACATGAATTATAAGCAGGGTTCAGGTTTAGGGTTTAGGTTTAGGGTTTAGGGTTTAGGGTTTAATGATTAGGGAGATGGTAAGGATTCTTTTGCAGATTAGACTGCATCATTTGAAGAAATAGGTCATGATGCTATTGTTGATGCAAGTGCACATGGATTAGGTATTACATCATGTAGATTTTCATGTTCTGCGGTCTACGCTGTCTATGGTAAGTCTAAAGTATTTGTTAAAGAATCAAATCACATCTTAAAACTCTTCCAAATCCTAAATCGCAAACCGCCTGCCTCTACACCCTAACCTCCCAATCTCCCAAACCCTTAGCCCCAGTAGGTTCTCTCAATGCCGAGACTCTCAGCTGTGCCACACGGTCCACCATGACCCCTGTCTTTGATTTAGAGTGCAGGGTTCAGGGTTCAGGGTTAAGGGTTTAGGGTTTAGAGTTTAGGGTTTAGGGTTTAGGGGTTGAGTGAGCCTGCCAACCCTCATCCCTGAACTCGAAACCCGCAACCGGGTTTGGGGGTTTTGAGTGGTTTTCTTGAACGCAAAGGCGCGCACTTTGCCTAAGCCTCGATGTATAGGCAGAGGCCTGGTTTTAGGGTTTAGGGGTTTAGGGGTTTAGGGGCTTAGGGTTTAGGGGTTTAGGGGTGTAGGGGTTTAGGGGTTTAGGGTTTAGGGGTGTAGGGGTTTAGGGGTTCGGGGGTTTCGGGGTTTAGGGGTTTAGGGTTTAGGGTTTAGGGTTTAGGGTTTAGGGTTTAGGGTTTAGGGTTTAGGGTTTAGGGTTTAGGGTGGGCTTGGGAGTTTAAGGTGTATGTGGGTATTTCCCAAAGGGTACCCCGGAAAACATAAATCTTTATTACAGGAGCCCCCGCGAAGGCCGCCTCCGCCACTTTTTCGAAGACCCCGACATGGCTTAAGGGGTTCTTGGTAACCCAGTAACCAGATTGTAATAAGGGTACCCTATCGTGGGTGGGTGCAGTTTAGGATTTAGCGGTTGATTGAGGGGTTTGGGGGTTTGGGGGTTTGGGGGTTTGGGGGTTTGGGGGTTTGGGGGTTTAGGGGTTTAGGGTTTAGGGCTTAGGGTTTCGGGTTTGGGGTTTGGGTTTTAGGGTTTAGGCTTTAAGGTCTGGGGTGCTTCGCCGCTGCGCCTGGGATGACCTCCATGTGCACTGCTTCGGTAAGAACATGGCTCAGTACATCCCATCGCTCCTGGGCTGATTTGGGGTTTAGGGTTTAGGGTAAAAGAGTCTAGGGCTCAGGATTTAGGGTTAGGGGGGGTTTTAAGCAGGGGCCCAAATCATTGGGCTTTTGCCAGGGCTAAACCCCAAACCCTAAATGAGCTTTGTGTTGCTAGGCCCTCAGGGTTTTGGTCACAGAAAGGCTGCAGGGTTTAGGGTTTCGGGTTTAGGGGTTAGGGGTTAGGGTTTAGGGTTTAGGGTTTAGGGTTTAGGGTTTAGGGTTTAGGGTTTAGGGTTTAGGGTTTAGGGTTTAGGGTTTAGGGCTTAGGGTTTAGGGTCTAGGGTCTAGGGTCTAGGGTCCAGGGTCTAGGGTTTAGGGTTTAGGGTTTAGGGTTTAGGGTTTAGGGTTTAGGGTTTAGGGTTTAGGGTTTAGGGTTTAGGGTTTAGGGTTTAGGGTTTAGGGTTTAGGGTTTAGGGTTTAGGGTTTAGGGTTTAGGGTTATGGTTTAGGGTTTTGGGTTTAGGGTTTAGGGTTTAGGGTTTAGGGTTTAGGGTTTAGGGTTTAGGGTTTAGGGTTTAGGGTTTAGGGTTTAGGGTTTAGGGTTTAGGGTTTAGGGTTTAGGGTTTAGGGCTCCAGGGAATTAGGGCTCGAGATCTTAGGCTAGCAAGCCAGTATGACACTGTTTGAGTCTGTGCGAGTGGGTCGTTCTCCCCACACGGCCATGAAGGGACCGCGTGGTGGCATGTCGACATCTCGGCCGCGAAGGAGTTTTCGTCGGCATGTACATTTTCAGCCGCTCAATCTGCAGGTCGATGTCTTCGGCGCTGGCGAGGTAGCCAGGTCTTGTCGTATCACGTACTGCTCGCCAGAAGCGCCTACAACAATGAAATCGCCCCAATCTGCGCGACATTTGTTGTTTCGATCCCGTCGAAGTACGTTGTGAGTTTAGGGTTTCAGGGGATCAACACGCTGCACCCCAAGAAGAGAAGAAAACCCGCAATCCTCGACCCCAACTCCTGGATTCTAGGGTCTGAGGCTGAGAGTTTAGGGTTCGAGGGGAGCCAAGGGCCCTAAATGCATCCTTAAACCCTAAACCCTAAACCCTAAACCCTAAACCCTAAACCCTAAACCCTAAACCCTAAACCCTAAACCCCACTGCCCCAGAGCTTCCCAGGCGTGCTCCAGGAGGTCGACTACCTGTTGAGGGCTTGGTGGCTGGTTGGGCTTCTGGGGTGCAGGTTTACAGCCGTTTAGGGTTCAGGGTTTAGGGTTTAGGGTTTAGGGTTGAGGGTTGAGGGTTTGGGGTTTGGGGTTTAGGGGTTAGGGGTTAGGCTTAGTTTAGGGATTAGGGTCTAGGCGTCCAGGCTTTGGGGTTCAGGGTTTGGTTCCGTAAAAAGCAAATTTCCACAAACGACAAGGAAGTTAACTTGTATCTGTAAGGGTTTATCGGGTGTAGCTTCTGGGGTTTCAGGTGTAACAAGGGCAAATAAGGAGAAACTTAACCCTAAACCTCAACCCCTAAACGCTAAAAGAAGGGCCTACTCTGGGTCCTGGTTCGAATACTCGAGGGCTTTTTGCGTATGGCATACGAAAGGTTTGCATTGGAGGGAAAGAACGCAGATCAGGCCCCATGTAAGCTCGAGGCTCTTTAAACGGGAAGGTGCCCACAGTCAAGTTCCGAAGATATCTGTCTGCATGTAGATTGTGGGGGCCTTTCGGGGGGGAGGCAGGGGGGTCGGGCACCATAACACAGGGAAGTATGTAGATCAACCCCCCAAGCGGTGTTCCAAAGGAAGCCCCGTAACCTGAACCCTGAACAGTACACGAACAGAAGAAACGCAAACTTCAAGCGCCAAGTGTCAAACCAGCATCAAACCAGCCTAAGTCCTAGACCCCTACACCCTAAACCCTAAACCCTAAACCTTAAACCCTAAACCCTAAACGGCCCTAAACCCTAAACCCTAAACCCTAAACCCTAAACCCTAAACCCTAAACCCTAAACCCTAAACCCTAAACCCTAAACCCTAAACCCTAAACCCTAAACCCTAAACCCTAAACCCTAAACCCTAAACCCTAAACCCTAAACCCGAACCCCAACACCATGCTCCCAAGCCAGCCTTCTGATTTGGCGGCGCCGGGATTCCGTCGACTTTTTTCCCCTCCACGAGGCCTCGGTAGTCGGGTTTCAGGGATCAGGGTTAGGGATTTAAGGTTCAGGGTTTAGGGTTTGGGGCTTAGGGTATAGGGTTTAGGGTTTCGGGTTTGGGGTTTAGGGTTTAGGGTGTAGGGTTGAACTGAGGTCCACGACAGCCCGCAGGCTTTTGGCTTTTGGGTTTAGGACTGGGATTTAGGGCAACAACCAAAGCAACCCCTAAACCCTAAACCCCAAACCCTAAACCCTCAACCGCGACTAAAGCCATGTTTGTAGACCAAGACGCTTCGCATCATCTGACCGGTCTCGGCCATCAATACCTGGAGTTTAGGGTTTGGGCTTCGGGATTTAAGGTTGCAGGGTTTCAGGTTTGAAGGTTCTGGCTCTAGAGTCTAGGTTGCAGGATTTAGGGACAAGCCGTTTTCGACCTTGTCCCCTCCAGGCAGGCAAGCCTTTTTTGGGAGAATCAAGGGAACCCAACCAAGAAAAGGAGGGCTCTAAGAACAAAACCCCGTAAGATACCACGTCGCAACCCCATGATATGCATTGCAAGTCGCCCTAAACACGAAGCCTAAACCCTAAACCCTGAACCCTGAACCCTAACCCCTGAACCCTGAACCCTAAACGCTAAACCCTAACCCCTAAAGGAGGTGCCGTCAACTCCACTTTGCTGGTGTGGACGTTGCTGCGCAAGGCCACCTCCGGAAGGTTTTGAGGTTTAGCAGGTTTTGGGGCACCCTCAAAATCGGTTCTAGCGTTTTTAATTTAGGGTTTCGGGCTTAGGCTAGGATTTGCTAGCGTTGAGGGTCGACGGTTTAGGGAGAGGGGTTTTGGGTATCGGTTTTGGTGCTTAAGGTTTTAGGTTTCGGGTTTCGCGTGTAGGGTTAGGGTTTAGGGTTCGGGCTTCGGGTACCAGTACACCCTAAACCCTAAACCCTAAGCTGTAAACCGGGCTTTGGCACGGCTTACTACGGGAGTCCGGGGGTGTGCGGTTGAATCCTGCCTTGGAGAACCCTCGCGCGAAACGAAATGTAGCTTTAGTCTAACGCTAAACCCTAAACCCTAAACCCTAAACCCTATAAACCTCGGACCCTAAACCCTAAACCCTAGCCCTAAACATTAAACCTCGGACCCTAAACCCTAGACCCTTGTCTTGAAGGCGCTTGGGGCTGCGGGGCCTGAGGGAGGTGTCGTTTGCGGCCGCTACCTGGAGCTCCATAGTACTTATTAACCAATTTTAACTGTACTTATAACCCGCTTATCAGCCGCTTAAGTGCCCTAATATGGTTAGTAGTACAGTTATAAAGTACAGTTATAGCCCTAAACCCTAAACCCGAAACCTTAAACCTAAACCCTAAACCCTAACCAGGTTAATACGTACCATGAAGCTCCAAGTAGGGAGGGGCGCCTGCATGAAGTGCCACGTGACCTGCTGCGAGAGGAGGCGCGTCCCACCTGCTGGATCCCATGAATGGGCTTGGGGTTTAATTTAGGGATTTAGGGTTTAGGGTTTAGGGTTGAGGGTTGAGGGTTGAGGTTGAGGGTTGAGGGTTGAGAGTTGAGGGTTTAGGGGTTTAAAAAATTTTGGCCTGGGGCTTAAGCCTTAGGCCTTAGGGCTTAGGGCTTAGGGCTTAGGGCCTAGGGCTTAGGGCTTAGGGCTGAGGGAACCCTAACCCACATGTCGTTGGGGTGCTGATGACTGGGTTTAGGGTTTAGGGTAGGTGGTAACGTCAAGGGCCCTCCCAAACCCTGAACCCTGAACCCCTGAACCCTGAACCCTGAGCCCTGAACCCTGAACCCTGAACCCTGAACCCTGAACCCTGAACCCTAAACCCTAAACCTCACCCCTAAACCTAAACCCTAAACCTCAAACCCCAAACCCCAAACCTTACCTTCTACGGGTCCCTCCACCTAAATCTAGGTGCTTCAAACCCTATAGAGGTACACAGGGTCTTGGAGGTTAGCAGCTTAGGTTCCTGGAGGACTTCGGGGGGGTTTAGGGTTCAGGGGTTCAGGGTTCAGGGTTTAGGGAGTTTAGGGTTTCGGGCTTAGGGTTTAGGGTTTAGGGTTCAGGGTGTATGGCTTGATGACTTGGCGACTCAGAGGTTTGAGTTCGAGGTGGGCATAGTCATAGGGTTTCCAGGTGCTCCGAAGCTTAGTGTTTAGGGCTTAGGATTTAGGGTTTAGGGTGTTGGGCTTCGGGTCTAGGGTTTAGGCTTTAGGGTTTAGGGTTTCGGGTTTAGCGTTCGAGGGTTCAGGGTATAGGGTTTAGGTTTAGGGTCAGGATTCAGGATTCAGGGTTTAGGTCAACCATAAGGGTTTATGGGGGTTACTTGTTCGGGGCGAGAGGGGTGGATGTTGAAGGGCCTACAACCGCTCATTCAGTCTCGATGGGCTGTACCGACCATTTGCGGGTCTACATTCGGGGTCCCTTCTAATCGCAAACCCCAACCCTAAACCCCAAACCCTAAACCCCCATCTAGGCTTTAAGGCGTTGAGTGCTTTGAGGGCATTTGCGGGTGTTTAGGGTGGACACCCTCTTGGCTTGGGCCTCAGCGGCTCGGGTTGAAGCACCCGAAACCCGAAACCCGAAGCCCTAAACCCTAAACCCTGAACCCTGCACCCTAAACCCTAAACCTAAACCCTAAACCCTAAACCAACCCTAAATCCTAAACCCTTGAGCCCGAACCTAGTGTGTCGAGGTAGACGTGCCAGTCGTGATCCGACATAGACCCCGCAGGGTCGCAGTTGTGATCGTCTGAGTGGTACCTGGGGTGTCGGGGATTTTTAGGGTTGAGGGCTTAGGGCTTAGGGCTTAGGGCTTAGGGCTTAGGGCTTAGGGCTTAGGGTTTAGGGTTTAGGGTTTAGGGTTTAGGGTTTAGGGTTTAGGGTTAGGGGTTTGAGGCCCGGAATCACAGAGTGGAACTTGTAGGGTTTAGGGCTTAGGGTTTAGGGCTTTAGGGTTCCGGGCTTCTAGGGGATTCGGCCCTGAAGGTTGTGCCCTTCTGATTGGCGGCCCATTTTGAAGATCCCCTTAAACGAAGACAAGGGCATGTGAAGTCTGAGCCTGAACCCTACACCCTCAACAATCCTATTAAAGTAAACCCTAAGCAACCTTAAACCCTAAACCTAAACCCTTTGGGGCCTGGGTGTTAGGGTTTAGGGTTCAAGAGCTAGGGCTTCGGGTTATCCTAAAACTCCTAATTACTACACACTAACCCCTGAACGCTGAACGAAGCACTCTAGCAGAGGCTATAACTTGGTGCTATCCTGCGTGTATCCTTACGTACCAGCCTACTTACAAGGCTAACCCTAAACCCTAAACCCTGAATTCCAAGTAAGCATCAGGCGAAGGGCAATGCGGCGGCCGCCTCTTGCGCATGGAAGAGCGCAGTAGACAGGGTGGAAATCCTGAACGCCATGACCAGGTTTTGAGATGAAAAAACACTTGGGATGTACCCCCTTATACTAACAGTCCTTAATAGGGAGTACAGTAACCCCTATTACAATCCCGACTAAGCACTGTTAGTCTAAGGGGAAACATCCCAAAACAACACCCCTAAAGCCTAAAACCCAAAACCCTAAACCTGAACCCTGAACCCTAGAGCAGACAAAAAGTTGCTGTAAGCTTGTAGAGCCTAGGCTCAGTTCTCTCAGTTCCGGCTTCTTTTGCCCTCTACAACTGTCTCAAGGCGCGTGCGGGGTTGATGGAGACCGGGCCCAGGGTTTAGGGTTTAGGGTTTAGGGTTTAGGGATTAGGGATTAGGGTTTAGGGTTTAGGGTTTTGGGTTTTAGGGTTGGGGTTGAGGGTTTATGTAGAGCTTCGAAATGTACAGAGGTCTGCCTGCAAGCCTACAAAGCCCAAGTCACACCGGTGCTTCCACGAAATCCTTACCTCTTACGAAGCCCCTGAAGCCCCGCCCAAAAAAACACTCAACCAATGGTGTTGGGAGTATGCATGGGATGATGGAGATCAACTGCCAGACTGGTATGAAAACCCTGAAGCCCTCAATTTCTAGACACCGGCGGGGGGTGGGGGGGGAAGGTTTGTTGAGCTTTGGGGTTTTTAGGGCCCTAATGAAACCCTAAACCCTAAGCCCTAGCCCTGGCTCGGGCTTGCGGGCTGTTGTGTCGTTGAGCAGGTGAGAGGGGCAAAGCTAAAAAGAGGGCTTAGGACTTAGGGTTTAGGGTTTAGGGCTTAGGGTTTTGGATTTCGGGGTTCAAGGTTTAAGGTTTAGGGTTTAGGGTTCAGAAAGGACTGTTGTGAGGCGGAGTTGTTGGGTAGTTTTCAGTCATTTAATCAGGTTTAGGGGTTAGTAAACGCTTACAACTTTAAACTTATGGCCTCACAACAGTCCATTCATAAGTGGGAATCTTGACCATGATGTTTGGCATACATGATTTGGGGGGGGGGGGGGGGAGGGGGGAGGGGGGGGAGGGGGGGGAGGGGGGGTTTTTGGAAGTTGGCCCGTTTTGGCAGGAGTCCCTCCGCCCCCCCCCCCCCCCCTCCCCCCCCTCAAGCATAACAGCCGTAGCTGTGCCACAGTCGGTTTGCTTTCACGTATTTCCAGACCTGTTATTCGGAAGTTCCCTGCTTTCGAAACACAGCCTTTGTTTCGAAACACAGCCCCTGTTTCGAAACATGGATGTCACAGCCACAACTCCTTCACAAAACGATATCCAATCTCACCTTGGTTCCAGCGCTATATCTGAAGGTTGCGATGTCACATGTGCGAGTAAAAGGATATCTGCTCATAGTATTCTCGCGTCCCCGGGGCCTACAGGACATGTCTTGATGATGTGGGTGCTAATAACGTAGGGTTATAAGGTTAAAAATCCTATAGAGTTTAGCGTTATGACCCTAAACCCTATATGCTTTAAGGCTTAAGGAAAACAGTAAAGTGGTTAAATCACTGAGGGACTAGGGTTACGTTTTTGCAATGCCCTAAACCTTAAATTCTAAACCTTTAACCTCTTATAGGGTTTAAACCCTAAAGGGCTAACCCGGTAGGGTAGATAAACCCTGACCTGAAAGGGGCCCTATAGGGTTTAAGGCTTAACCTAGCTTGAATGCCCAAACTTGAATTTAAATCCCCAGGCCTTAAACCTCTGAAAACCTTATAGGGCTTAAAGGCTTTAATGCCTAAACCTGATGTATTTAAGGTCTGGGCATTTATACATTCAGCATTAGAACCCTAAACCCTTTATGCTGTAAAGCTTAAGGTAAACAGTAGGGTTTAAGTCTCAAGGCCTATAATATAAGGTTATAAGGTTCTAATCCTATAGAGTTTAGCGTTATAACCCTAAAGCCTATATACTTTAATTAAGGCTTAAGGAAAACAGTAAAATGATTAAATCCCTGAGGGTCTAAGGTTACGTTTTTGCAATGCCCTAAACTTTACACTCGAAACCTTTAACCTCTTACAGGGTTTAAATCCTATAGGGTTAAACCTTTAAAAACCTTATAGGGCTTAAATGTTTTAATGCCTAAACCTGATGTACCTAAGGTGTGGGCATTTATACCTTCAGCGTTATAACCCTAAACCCTATCTGCTGTAAAGCTTAAGGTAAACAGTAGGGTTTAAGTCTCAAGGCCGATAATATGGGGTTGTATCAAAACCCCGCGCAGTCGATTTTGAAAGGAATTGCCCGAAGCGTTTGGGCCGTGCTTCTGACTCGTAAAACGATAACCAAGAAAATAAACCGATAACTTTGTAGTAACAGGGCGGGCAGGCGCTATTCCAGTGATAAGCTTGTACTACAAATACATGAAAACATTGAAAACCCAGCCTGCTCAGCTTGCACTACAAATCAACGGAAACCTAGCCGGTTTCAGTACTAAGCTTGTACAACAAATCAATGAAAACCCAGCCTGCTCAGGGGCACGTCCGTTCCAGTACTAAGCTTGTACTACAAATCAACGAAAACCCAATCGGCTCACGGGAACGTCGGTTCCAGTACTAAGCTTGTACTACAAATCAACGAAAACCCAACCGGCTCACGGGAACGTCGGTTCCAGTACTAAGCTTGTAGGATGAATAGATTTAACTCGGGGTTTTTATACAACCCCATATAGGGTTATAAGGTTCTTATCCTATTTAGCGTTATAACCCTAAACCCAAACACTATATGCTTTCAGGCTTAAGGAAAACAGTAAAGTGATTAAATCCCTGAGGGTTACGTTTTTGCAATGCCCTAAACCTTAAACTCTAAACCTTTAACCTCTTATAGGGTTTAAACCCTGTAGGGCTGCACTATAGGGTTTAAGGTTTAACCTAGGTTGAATGCCCAAACCTGAGTTTAATTGAACCTTTAAAAGCCTTATAAGGCTTAAAGGTTTTAATGTCTAAACCTCATGCACCTAAGGTCAGGGCATTTATACCGTCGGCGTTATAACCCTAAACCCTCGTACATCTGCTTTGCACTCGCAAGAAAATCAACTTCAAAAAAAACTCCGCCTCACAACAGTCCCCTCTCTTAGGGTTTAGGGTTTAGGGTTTAGGGTTAGGGCTTAGGGCTTAGAGAAGCCGAGACACTCGCTGGCGTAGGTCGCGGCGAGCGACTGGAGCTCGTACGTGGAGTGGGCATTCAGGACAGTGTCCACCACAGGCTGAAACTGAGCGTAGTGATACGAAACTTGCCTCGGTTGTCAGAGGTCTAGGGTGTATTGTTGAGGGGTTGGCAAGGATAATGCCTTGCTTCGCAAGGCCCAAGACGGCGCATAAGGGAGGGGAAAGGGGGGGGCGGGTTGGGACAACACGCGCTTGCAGCCCTCCCCCTTAACACTCCCTAACACCTTATAACGGGTTGATCCCCGAGTTTCGAAGCCCGCAGGCAATGCCATACCTCCCTAGTACACCCTAAACCCTAAACCCTAAACCCTAAACCCGAAACCCCACCCAGCGTCGGCACAATATCTTACTGGTGCTTGGGAGCGGGGGAGACACTATTTAGGTGCATGATATATCCTAGGATGGCCATTAAACCAAACACTCCCAAATAGAAGCCTCTTATTAAACCCAATAAGGGACAGGGCGTAGGGTTTAGGGTTTAGGGTTTAAAAGTTTAGGGTTTAGCGTTTAGGGTTTAGGGTTCAACATCTTAGAGTTCAAGCATTTACCAGGTTAGCAGCTTTTCAGGCGCCGGAAAAATACCCACCCACCCAGAGACTCGCTTACCATTAAGATTATAAATAATTCACACGCAACCCAAACTCTTAGCCCTAATTAAACCCGAAGCACTCGTCCCTGAACATTTCACCTTTGAAGACTCCTCCTTCTCGGGCCGAGAATGGGGGTTGCCCGGGGCCCAAAAAGGGGGGAGGGTGGGGTGGAGGGGGTAGCCCAGCACTAGTTTTATGACCTTGCCCGCTACTTGTATGACGTTGGCCACTATTTTTCTGACCTTGCCCGCTAAATTTATGACCTTGCCCGCTTCTTTGATGACCTTGCCGCACCTTGCCCGCTAATTTTATGACCTTGCCCGGGTCATAAACCTGGTGCCCAAGGTCCTTTAGCGGGCAAGGTTGTAAAATTAGTGGGCAAGGTCATAAAAATTAGTGGGCAAGGTCATGGGTCAGCCGACGACCTTGCCAACTGATTTTAGGACCTTGCCCGCTAACTTTATGACCTTTCCACTTTTAGGACCTTGCCCGCTAATTTTAGGAACTTGCCCGCAAACTCATGAACGGTTGTATTATGCATGATAGAGCGGCTGAGGGTTTAGGGATTAGGGTTTCTATAGGGCTTAATTTAGGGTTTAGGGTTTAGCATTTAGTATAGTCCAGAGCCTACCGAGTTATTTGTTTCTGTATATTTGTTTCGTCAACAGCGTCGTTCGAAAACTGCGACGCAAAGCCAGATTCTGTTGAGGGCTGGTTCGTGTCTTCAAGCATGAGCTGCTAACTGCTATGTTCTTTTTCAACCCGACGGAGGTTCCCGCGCTCGCCGACCACACCCTGTGAGGAAGGCGGGCAGCCTTTTTAAGGCTTTAAGGGCTTCGCTTTCTGTCCGGGCATGTTTTCTTTCTGATGTTTGGTCATGTGTTCTTGGGGGGCACTACGAGTTCAAAGTTTCAAGCCTTTACAAAGAGCCCCTCAAAATCCGGTCAAGCTCCAGAAGCCCTTGAACTTCAGTGGGACCATGCTTTTCGGGTTTGAACTCAAATGTCCTACATCTTGGCGGTAGCAGCGCCCGAGTAGCATCAAAGAAGGGGAAACTGTGACGGCGCCTGCAGTTGCGACCTTTTGCCAACTGCTCAGCGTCAAACTCAAGGCCAGAAACTCTCTAGGCTTCTTCCATGCCCACGCGGAGTCGGAGAGCTTGCAGCTCTCGCCCGCGCGCTTGCAGCCACGCGGGCTGCGTGGCCACAAGGCTGCCTGCAGCAATGCCCGGACCTCGCGCAAGCGGTGCTGCCGCAGCTTGTCGGGCACGGAGCTTGGCACGCCTCGCCGGCGGCGTTCTCGACGCTGCCGCCGCTGCCGCACGGCTGCTTGGGACAGCTGCTTCCGGCGAAGGCTGTAGACTTGGGATGACCTTTTCAGCAGCACAAACAAGAAATGCTTGTAGGTCAGTGCATCTCTCATGCTAACCTGAGGTATCCGATCGCCGCCCTCCATCTCCTTCTGCTTGCAAAACACAGGCTGCTGGTCGTGCGGCTCCAGAAAGATCGGCCCCATCAGGACCTTGTCTTCCTCGGTAAGGTTGTGCCAGACTTTGCCAGTACGGTTCAGCATGCCGTTTCGTGCAGAGTATGGGCTGATCCAATGACCCCACGAAACTGGCGGGGGCGGCGGGACTGGCAGATCCCGCGACCTTGAACGGAAGTCCTGGAAGAGCCCGCCGAAAGCCAGGCAGTGGACCTAAAACAAAGCCAGACGGTCGGGGCAGGATTCCTTTAGACCAAGTTGTAAACGCCATACTTCGGGCCATTGCTGTCCATGTTTAACCAGTGGCCAGACAGTGGGCCAGGAATCCGCAGATTAGCCAATTTTGAACAAGGCCGTGCGCTGCAGCGTCCGCCATGGGTCAATGGAGCGGCGAGGAAGGCCTCACTTGGCTTCGATGCTGTCACTGCCCGTCACGACATCTCTACAACGCCTTCGAAGTTTGGAGCTCAGGGCTTAGGGATTGGGCTTCGGGAAGGTTGAGGTCCAGGCTTGGGGTTTGGGGAATGGCGCCCTCTTTGATTTGAAAACCCCTACAGATGAGGATTCAGGGTCAAGGGTTTGAGGTTCAGGAAAAAAGACAAGGCTTCAGCTTGAAAGGTGCATCTGCGCAGTAGGCTGGATTCGGCTGCAATGGGTCCGTGCAGACGACCGTTTATACGGTTTCAGAACGGGATGCAGCAAGGGATGTGGAGGGATTCTGGTGCGGAGGTCTGCAGATTTGTGACTCCTGGACTCCTCGGGCCAGGGCCACGACAAGGTAAACCCTAAACCCTAAACCATAAACCCTAAACCCTAAACCCTAAACCCTAAACCCTAAACCCTAAACCCTAAACCCTGAACGCAGGCTTTGGGTGGTCTGCACAAAAATCAGAAGGAGCAGCTCATCAGCGTTCTAGCGGAGCAACCCTCTGCAACCCCAGTACAGCCATATAGCCCTGCTTTGAAGCGTGCATATGGGTGGTTGTCAAAATGATGGTCCCTTTTTGGATCCCTATTATAATACGGCACCTAATATCTAGGGTACCCCAAAAGGGATCAGAATTTTGACAGCCACCCATAGGATGTAGGGTTTTTAGGGTCTGGGGGGGAGGGGTGGGGGGGTAGAAGGGGGGCCCTCTAGAACCTCACTAACAATGTTTAAACATATTCTTCCTTGTAAAGAGCAATATGGGGATTCTTGTTCTGTATTTTTCATTTTTACTTTTGTTCTTGTTTTATTATCATCATTTTTTGGGGGGTTTTCAAGCAAATAGTAGTAACTCCTGTTTTGGGGTACCCTAAGGGGCTTATAATAGGAACCCCCAAAGGGACCATAACTTAGAGAAGTGACCCTTTGGGTATTTCCTCATACAAGGCTACCGTTAATAACCCCAAAATGGTACAATCCTTATTATAGGAACCCCCAAAAGTGCACCACCTATTTTCGGAAACCCCCATCCCTACACCCTAAACCCTAAACCCAAACCCGAAACCCTACACCCTAAACCCTAAACCCTAAACCCTAAACCCTAAACCCTAAACCCTAAACCCTAAACCCTAACCCTAATGACTCTTATTGGTATTCGTGTTCTGATTGCACCTCTTGGATCCCCGCCTCACCTCCGCCCCTGGCGCCTGCGTACCCTTCTTGAAGGCTTCTGCAAGGGGCCATTAAAGAGTACTGAGGGATATATATATGTATATATATATATAATATAATATGATATAATATAAATAACACGGGCTATATCAGAGGATTACAACAAGCATCCCTGAAAAACCTACTATAGAAGTCGGAAGAAGAAACTAATAATTATCCCTCATGGTCCCTTTACAATTACACTATAATAACCCCCCAAGACCTTAAATTATGAGGGCCCCTATAATGCCTTCAGCTCAGGACTGACTTACAGAGGTTGAGGAGTGTGTTCGGCCCCTAAACCCTAAACTCTAAACCCTAAAACCTTCTCCCATGCCCTTTCGTAAACGAAATAGGGTCATGAGCCGCTCCTGAAGTACGAGCGAAGGAGTTTTTCCCAATTCAGTCCGGATCCCGAGACCCTAAAGCCTAATTTAGGGTTTAGGGTTTAGGGTTTAGGGTTTAGGGTTTAGGGTTTAGGGTTTAGGGTTTAGGGTTTAGGGTTCTGGGGGTGCCTGGACCACTCCTCGAGTTACAGCGGCCGCCCCCTCTTGGCGACCCTTCCGGGCTCATGTAGGGCTGCTTCGGCGTATGACTTAATATGAATGTGCAAGACATATTTAACCTAGGAGAAAATGAGGCGACGAACAAAAGAACGAAGAAAAGGACATATGACAGTGTATAGAAAAAAAAAAGATATACAGGGTAGTGGGATGGCGAGCCTTCGAGGTCCGTCCCTCCTCGTATCCCGGTTTAGGGTTTAGGGTTTAGGGTTTAGGGTTTAGGGTTTAGGGTTTAGGGTTTAGGGTTTAGGGTTTAGGGTTTAGGGTTTAGGGTTTAGGGTTCAGCCTTAAGCTTTAGCGGTTGGTCTGGATCCCATGAATCAAAGACCGAGCTGCGACATCTGCTGCAGGGTGCAGACATTTTCCAGAACTGGAATACCTCCAACAGCAATCAGCATCTGCTCTTAAAACCCTAAGCCCTCAATCCCAAGAAGAAAGCCTGAAACCTTAACCCTCCGGAATTCTGGGCCCCTGAGCCCCCACCCCGCCCCCCCTAGACCCTAAGCCCTAAACCCTTAACCCTGGGGTTTAGGGCTTAGGGTTCCGGGCTTGGGGTTTAGGGCTATTCGGGCATCCCTGAAACCTAGGAAGAGGGGGGCTTAGGGGCAGGACGAGGGGTCTTCGGGAGGCTGAGGAGGAGCAGCATGCCAAGAGCGCCCACAACCCGGATTTAGCGGAAAGGGTCTGCTTACTGTTGGCTCGTCAGGAATGGGGGAATGAGGTACCCTATACAATCCCTTAAAGGGTATATGTAGGGCCCTCATTCCCTCCTTCCCTGCTAGCCAACAGTAAGTCTAGGGTACTTCTAACCCCAATACTTTTACCCCCCCCCCCCCCATAAGTCCTCTAAGCTCTAAGTAGGTTGTAAGTGGAGTTGCGCCTGGGGATATAAGTACCCATGCATTTCCAAATCTAGACCACCCACCAAATTCTAACCCAAGGGAGCTCCAGGCTCTGCATCTGGCGGGTTTAGGGTTTAGGGTTTATAGGGTTTTATAGGGTTTTATAAGGGTTTATAGGGTTTTCTTAGGGTTTTCTGGGGTTTATAGGGTTTTGCATGGTCTTATAGGGTTTTATAGGACTTGTAGGGTTGACAGGGGCGTAAAGTAGGTCTTAATGCCGAGAAAAGGGGCGCGATCCTACTTCTATACCTACTTATGAACAGAGTTTCAGGGTTTAGGGTTTCCCTATGTCCCCTGATCTATCCAGCAGCACGGCACCTGCAAATCGGACGCCGGCGATGATGCCTTCGTGGGACTCTTCGTAGAGCAGTTTCGTCTCGGAGAGCTTCCTAAGATCGAGCCAGCGAATTTGCTGCACTTAGGAGGGTAATTATAAACTAAATTCTTAGCTGCCGGATTAAGAAACCGAATAAACCCAAAAAGGCTAAGGAGCTAAAGTTACAGTAAAGCACCACAAAGGAATATTTCTGTGGAGGGTTCAGGGTTGAGGGCTTAGGGCCCGGGGAAGGGGGGGGGTAACAAACCCTAAACCCTAAACCCCAAACCCTAAACCCTAAACCCTACTCAACCCTAGGTTATCTCTTGCAAAAGCTCTGGCCTGAAGTCCCGCGCCCGAAAGCCTGTGTTGGACACTTGAGCCTCTATCTGCTGCTGGAGCCAGTCTTGGGAAATCAGCGGGGTTTTGGGTTGAGAGGATTGGGTTTGACGATTTGGGACATATGATATAGCTCTTCGGGATTCAGTTTAGGTTTAGGGTTTCGGGCCTACGGGGCAACACCCTAAACCCTAAACCCTAAACCCTAAACCCTAAACCCTAAACCCTAAACCCTAAACCCTTCGGAGCTTGGTACGGTTTAGGCTGTGTCGGATGGCGCTGCCGAACCCTCCCTAACGCGCAGCTGGGCACTGCTTTGTGAAGGGTTCGACTCCCAGAAGCCTTGAAGGGGTTTAGGGTTTAGGGTTTAGGGTTTAGGGTTTAGGGTTTAGGGTTTAGGGTTTAGGGTTTAGGGTTTAGGGTTTAGGGTTTAGGGCTTCCCTCCAGGGACCTAATGCTGGGGTCTTCGGGGCTCTGGTAACCTAATTATTCGGGCTCTGGTGCAGAGACTGTATTTCAAACTCGTCGTTGCGGCCTTGATCAACATACGAAGCGCATGAGTGATACTCGAATTATTCATTCGCAAGGACAGTAGTTTTTGCTTCGCACGCTCTTAACGCAGTTCATGCAATCACTACACACTCATGTTCACTTAATCACTGCACGGCTACACGAAAAAAAGAAACGGAAGTTCAGGTGACCGTTCTTGGTTTCACTACACATGATGCAGATAGCTGTGCCAGAAGCGTACAGAAAGAACCCGTCACAAGTCGGAGGCCTCAAATACACTGCAACACGCACAGGGCCGTCCAGGGCACGCGAAGTTGTAGTCCAGGGCGATACCCTGGCTCAAGAGGAGGACCTCCTGATACCAAAGTCGATGAGTCTAGTTTTCTCTTTGATCAATTGAAGAGCCTTTCATAGGGTCCGTAGAAGCCCGTTGACTCGCAAGTAAGAGCATGGGAGCCCAAATCTAGGCACCAAGCCCTGAGCTCTAAACTCTAAACCCTGAACCCCAACAGCACAAGACTCCAAACCCTCCTCCCTGCAAACCCGAACACTTTGACAGAACCCTGAACAAGCCTTAAACTCTACTCGCTCCAAGACGGAACATCCCAAGCTCAAACCCTCAAGCCCTGTCAGAAACCCATACCTCCGAACCTTTGGCTCCTGAAACCCCCAAAAACCCTACAAAGTGCGAAGACCTCAAAACCCTGTAAACTCTCTAGAGCTGAACCCTAAAACCCTGTCAAAGAGCCCATACCTCCCAAGCCTTTGGCTCCTTGCACATCCTTTGGATGTAGGTGAGCTGGCGATCAGCAATGTCC